CCCTGTGCCCACCTGCTCGAAGGATGGGTAGTAGACAGGATGTGCTGCCACGCTGGGGAAGCAGATGACCAAGGCTGCTGCACTCTCCGTGTTGGGGTTGCACTGCACGGTGCCCATGGGGTTCAGAAGTTCCCCTTTCTCATCTGAAAAACAAAGGGCATAATACCCATGAACACAAATCTTGTGAAGCTTTGGTGCAGAAAGCAGAGCAGAGACTGTCCCTGGGCACAAGCATGTCACCTTCCTGAGCTCTCCCAGGGAGGGACACGGGACAGTTTTAGGTGAGCAGCCACCTCTGTGCAAAGCCAGGCTGGCAGGGCTCGTCTGCCACCACAGCACAGGGCAGTGACCACAGCAYTTGCTGCTGCAGAATGAGGGTGCCAAGCACAGCAGCTCCCTCTCTGCCCTACCTGGGAAGGAGGACCACATGTGCAGGCAGCACTCTCCTGTTTTCAGCTGGTCCTTGTAGTCAAAGAGCATCACGTTGACCCAGGCGATGGGACAGTCCTGTGGGGAACAGAGTGTTCATGGGGCTGAGCCTGCCCAGGGAGGAGCAGGACAGCAGGRCAGGGTGACATCCCATGCAAAGGGACATCCTGCCCGCTACCCTCGAGCTCTGTAAGAGCACAATATGGCCCCAGGCATCTGGCAAAACCTGGGCTCTTTCCTCTAGTGCTGAATGGCACCAGCACTCCCCACAAATGTCTAAAACTGCACCACCTGATGCTTGGCATAGCTGAAGCATCTCGAAGTTTCCAATAAGGCCTTCTAACTCTATACTCAATATTTGAGGGAGCTCTGACACACTTCATATATTTCACAGTTAGAGGAGAGGGAGAAGAATCTTAATTTTGGCACAGGGACCAGAGAATAGGCATGATTTTGGAAAACGACACAAAGGATGCTAGAAATAGCTGATAATAGGAAAAAAAGGCTTGGCTCCTTTGTACAATAACAAACACTATAAAAATCAGACTTTATGCTGCCAATGCTCTGCCACACCCCCAAAACAAACCCCACAAGTCCAGCCAGTCTCATTTTGGAGGAGGGAGACTCCACAATGAAGTGAGTGGGACATGGCCCAGACAAAGAGCCCATCCCCTGCTCCCAGAGCAGACACATTCCACCAGTGACCTAAGCCTTGCTGCAGTCAGGTTCCCCACATGGAACACTTGACCTCATCCAGCAGCACTCWGAGCTCAGCTCACACCAAGGCTGAGGCACAGAAATGACTGCAAAAGGGGTGACGTGGCAAAAATTCTGCATTGGCTCACCCASAGTGTCATGTTTGAGGGAACCACAGACACATCTGGTGCATGGGGCATTCTRGAGAATGCAGCAGCCTCACCCCAAAGGACACCCAAGCACTTGGTGGAGGTGACAGAGCCCCCACTTCCCTCCAATGTGACAAAATGAGTCACTTCCAAGTGGCCTCTCACACACCTTGGAGYTGATTTGATTACTCTTCAGTAAAATCCCATTTGAGAGATCAGCTTTTAGATCACAGGGAAGAGCCAAACAAAACACCACCGCCAGCAATAACCTTTTCTGACAGAGCAAATGACATCTAACCACAGCTCAGAGCCTGCCAAAACACGAGGCAAGATTTCTAGTGGATAAGGTCCAGCAAAACAAGGATCCAGCACTCTAAAGGCAGACATCTCCTGAATGATTTAGAGAAACACTGAAAGCCAACCCTCTGGGTGACATTAACCCTCTGACTCATGCAGACAGCCTGCAAACATGCCTGGTTCTGTGCTAGTAAATGATTTAGTCCCACCTATCTGCTCTGCACAGTCTGCACATAAACAACATGTACGGAATTAACCTCTGAGTAAGGAAAAAAATTAACAATCAAAATAAACAAACAAAAAATTAGCACTCTGACTGTAACCTGCCCTTACCAATCATTTTAAATTATTTCTGGGCACTCCACTCAGAGCTGTAGCTCACCATGTGGAAAAATTCTTATTTGCAGTGCTCAGCTCTAGTGAATGCTGTGATTTCATACTAAAAGCTCATCAGATTGCATCCACCTTTCCCCAGCACCAGAATACACATAAATAAGATCCTGTGAACAGCAAACCAGATTGGTTTTGTTTTGTCAATCAGAACAGCAAGMTCTTCTTCTGACTGCTTCAAAAACAAAAATTATTCCCATGGGACCACAAATATCCAGCCTGTGAAAGAATCAGATCTTCTGTCCAACAAAAGACTCCAGCACGAGCTGGGGTTCTGCTGTTCTTAAATAAAAAAGAAACCCAACAATAAAACTGTTAAACCTGGTCCTGCCCTCCAAATGTTTCCAGTCTGAAACCTTCAACCCAGAAATTGGTCCCCACAAGCAAGATTCATGAGCTGGCTGCTGCTCCCAGACATGACTGCACRGTAACCCTGAGAACCCCACTGATGTCAGCACAACAAAGCTCAGTGAACCTCCCAGCAGAGAGAAGAGAGATGAACTGAATGTATCACACTCATCAGTGCCCCATTTCTCTGCACTCTAGTACAGATGGCATGAGTAACCCTCTCTTTTAGGCACAGGAACAGTGTCTTTGTGGGCACAGATACAATAATTTGCAGAGGAACAAATGCATTTGCTGCTCATAAAGGAAACGATCACATGCAAAGAGATTGAGGCCTAAATTCCAACTCTGGGAAACCAGCAATTCAATTACAGGCTGCACTCAGGTCTGCTTTTAGTTACTGAATCATTAATGGGCCCAAAGTTTGGAATAAAGGTGAGTAAAGTGAGAAATTTCACTACCTCTGATTAAGATGCTCACATCAAGAGCTTCTAAAGTGAATTAACACTTTCTGTGCTCAGTACTGAACAGGAACCTTGAAGAATCTGCACTTTGATTTTATYTCACCTAAAGCTTTGCCATAACCAGTGTTTACATTCCTCAGTTTATTCCCCCTCCCTAGCTGGTAATTTGCTCCACTGGGGATTTGCAGGAAAGATCTTGTTAGAAAGAAAATGCAACACAGATGATGGTTTAACCTCAACTACAAAACAAGGAAGTTGCGGAACAGTGAAACAGAGACACCAATGTAACTGATTCCTCTTTARGACCAGTCAGATCTGGGTATGTTTCCTAATGGTCTTTCTAGAGAAGAAATTACATATAAACAGCCTTTCTTACAGGCAGCCACTGCTCAGCTTCCTATTCCTTTAGAAGTTATTGGCCATCATTGTGTAAGCTCTTCTATTAACATAAAGTTCTCTGTAAGTGAAGGGGACTCAGTTCAGAATCGTGTCCTGAGCTCTGCAGCCCTGGCCAGCCTGGCTCAGCCCCCTCTGGCTTCACTTACAGCTTTCTTGGATTTCTTCTTGGTGGAACGAGCCTTCTTGGCCTTCTCGATGACGGCGTAGAGGGCGAGGCAGAGCCGGGCCATGCGGGGCAGGTCACAGATGTTGATGTCGAAGTCGAGCCGCTGCTTCCACACGGGCTCCGAGCACACGTTCACCTCCGAGCTGGACACTGTCTTACACAGCATCTCATTGCCATGGAACAGACCTGCCTGCACCACCAGCTGAGGGCAGGGGAAATAAGAGGACACCATKAATCCATTCCTAACTGTAACCCAAACCCTAATCCTAACCCWCTCCCTTCATGGCAAACCCCCTGCACCTCCCAGGGCTCCGCTGCATCCTGCTTTCTGCATTCCCCTTGCCASTCACCAGCTCTCCATCACTCTCTTCTCAGAGCTGGGTTTCCCCTCCCCTGTGCTGCAGCTTTCCTGCCCTGCACAGCACTGTAAAATGCCATTCCTGCTGCCTGGTCACTGCCCTCCCCATTCCTGCTGTGCTGCAGTTCACAAACTGCCCAAAGGCTGAATGAAGCCCACAGGAGGAGGTGAAAGCACGCTGTACAGCACCACTGTCCTCACCACACCAATGGATGTGACTGGGAAAGCCAAAGGACAAAACCCCTGAGTGAGTCAATACCCACCTTCATTCTCTCATCTGCATTGACCTTGCTGCCTTGCAGCAGCTCAATGTAGAAAGGCTGCTCTAAGGACCAGAGRGARCCRTAGTTTGGCTGGAAAAAGAAAAGGRTYCTGATCAGAAATAGATGCAGCAAAGGCCTCTCAAGTCAGCACCACAACTCATCTCCCATTCCATGCTTTTTGCTTCCACAGGAAAGAGCAAGAAGCCTGGGACAASCAGGGAAGCTGYGGAGGGGTGCTGGAAGGCTGGCTGRGAATTCCCATCTCTGAGACCCAGACAGGAACCCATTGTGAGAAGGGCAGGGAGAACCCACTGCTGCTCCCAGCCAAGATCAGCATCTCCACCAGCAGATGAGCCCAGGGTGACCCCAGGAGTCACTGTCCCTTTTTACCTTTTTCTTGGGGAGCGGGGGGGGCTTGGAGGCCACTTTAGGGGGGCTGGCAATGCAGTTGGTCTGCTCGTCCCTCATGGCAATGATGGCAGAGGAGTGCACCATGGTCAGGTGGGGGGTCCGGCCCCGCTGCAGGCACCTGCGGATGTGCTGAGAGGGGACAGGGTCAGCAGGGCCACCAGCCACAGCCACTGGAGCCTGGCCACAGCCACTGGAGCCTGGCCACAGCCACTCAGGGCTGGGCCACAGCCACTCAGGGCTGGGCCACAGCCACTCAGGGCTGGTCACAGCCACTGGAGCCTGGCCACAGCCACTCGGGCCAGGCCACAGCCACGGCACAAACCAGCACAGGGAGCCAGGGAAGGACACAGCAACAATTGAATTCCAATTATCTCCTCTTGCTTTATAAACCTGCGACTCACTGGGCTCATGTTGCCAGGACTGAGAATATGAAGTGCCTTTTATAGCTGGCATTTCATCAATGGACTCAAATGGCTGCATTAAGGGAAAACACTGAGGAGGATTCAGCGCTCCCAGCAGCAGTTTGCCCTGCCAGAGGAGCACATGATTCAGGATTACTTGCCCAGCTCTCAAGGGGGGGAACCTCACCCCCCATACAAGCAAGCAGATATTTCCAGAACCACAGTCTCTAAATGTATYTACACAGCACTTGGCACCCAGGGACAGGCTCAGATCACTGGCCACCAAAAAATCAGGATTTGCTAGGCTGCTGCAATCACCCTTTGCCCTAAGCAGCATCTAGGTGCTGTCACTGATGTGCTGCAGCCCTGTAAACAGCACTGTCTCCTTGGCAACACTCCCAACCCACACCCACAGCACCAGAACRGACTCTGGACAAAGCAGGGCATGAGGCTCACCTGGAACTGGTACAGGGGGTAGTTGCCATAGAGATATTCACATTTCCCGTTCACCTGCAGGGTGTAGTCCTCTGGCCTCTGCACSGTCTCGTGGCGGAACACTGTAGCCTGTTTCTTGATGGCATAGCTCATGAGGGTGATGGGGAACTCCCAGGGGGAGATCTGGAACGTGAAGCTCTCCTGCAACCCCAACAACACAGCGAACTGTCAGGTTCCAGCACAGGGATGAAATRGCACAGACATTCCTGCTGCTGGCAATGGCAGCAGGACAGGAAGGTACAGTCACATCAGCCAGTGACAAGGAGGGATGTTTGCCAAACTGGGCAACTGGAGCAACTTCCAGCAGCTCAGCTGAAGCAGAATCAGCTGTTCACGTGGCTGCCATCCTTCCCACTGCCATCCCACCAGCAGGGCAGAGGCTGAAGGGTCACCATGCTCAAACACACTGCCCTGAAGGCCGCTCTCCCATGAGGGTGAGCCTGTTTTATGGCAGGGCAAAACATGAACCAGGGATAGGAGGCAACAACAGGGGCCCRTGGGCAACACAGACCAGTGCCTGCCAGCAGAGTTTGCTGAGCATGAGCTGAGCAGACTCTTGAGCTTCCTAAGGAAAGTACTGGATTCTGTGCTCCTTTTCTACCCAAACAGCTTCCCACCCCATGTACATGCAGCTACCCCAGCTACCAGCTAACCAGCACACCCAGTGCATGTTCAGGAGGGGGAATTCTCCCTCCCAACTATCTCCACAGGCAAAGGAATCTGAAGAATGAACAGTGAACACATGGAAACACTCCAGGCACWCATTATTCTGCCTCCAAACGCACAGAGGTTTCCAAAGGAAAAGCACAAACGATCAAACACCGTGACAGAAAAGTTTGGGCTTTACCCCTCCAGACTGGAACCTGACGTTGACAAAAATGTTCTTGGTGGGGATGTGCAGAGAGCCGGGGCCCTTGGCCATGGGCTCCAGCTGCAGGGGGAAGTTGTACTCCATCCACGCTGCCCAGCTGAGCTGCTGCCGCTTTGCTGCTTTCTCCTCGCAGAACTGGCACATTTTGGTGCGGAAATCGTTCACCTCTGGATCCTGCACAGAGTCAAACTCGTGCAAACCTGAGTGGACARTAAGGGAGGAAAGCAAAATAAGCACCTGCAGCCAGTGGGGAAATGAGCCCTTTCCTCAARTRTCTGTGGAAGAGTCTTCCTGAACAYACGTTTAACATGTGCCCAAAAGGAGCAGAGTCAGCCAAGCTCCCAGCAATCATTTACTGATGATGCACAATTGCACTGACTCAACACCCCAGCATTCTGCCAGCAGGAAGCATCACCTTCCCTCTCTGGATCCCCTGGAGACCAAAGCTGCTGATGTCACTGTCCCACAGGGAGCCAGGCTGTCTGGGACAGGAGCACATCCCACCCCCAGCACCCAGCCYGCCGTGAGCAGCCATGGGGGAACCGACCTTTTCCAATGAGCAGGCTGATCTGGGAGTTAATGACCTTCTTGACCCTGTCACCCTCGCGAGCCACGAGGCGCAGCACGGGCAGGAAGGGCTGGATGTCACAGAGACGGCGCTGCTCATCCTCCAGCTCCTGCTGCTCGGCCGTCTGGTTGATGCAGGTGAACACATAGGCCTCGGGGTCACTGAGCATGTGGAACAGCGGCTCATACTGTGCATGTTTCCACAGCACCTGTGGGACGGCATTGTGTCACCCTCCAGAGCCTGCTCTGACCCTCCAGCCTGGCTGTGTCACCCTCCAGAGCCTGCTCTGACCCTCCAGCCTGGCTGTGTCACCCTCCAGAGCCTGCTCTGACCCTCCAGCCTGGCTGTGTCACCCTC